CTACTTCAACATCCCAAGTTGCACTTGCTAGTGCGCAATCGTCCCTCGTAGAGTCACCTGTTACTTCAACAGCACAGGTTGCACTCGCGAATGCGCAATCGTCCGTCGTAGCACCACCTGTTACTTCAACGTCGCAGGTGGGATCGACTGCTGTAGCGACCGAAGCCCCCGTTCGTACTTTTCTGCAAGCAGCTACCGTTTCGATATCCGCGGCTGACCTCCGCAGCGTTCCCAAGCTGACTGGAGACCGTGCCGAGAATGTGATAGAATTCTTGAAACATTTTCGGACGGTAGTTGGGCTGAAAGCCGCAGTTGTCAACACGGATTCGTCGTATGCTGATGGGGTTGCACTCAAGCACGTTGCCCTTGTGGGAACAGGAGAGGTGTTGACCCTGATACAGCAGATCTNAGGAGGAGGCACACAATCTCGCAACGTTCGTCCAAGGGCCACAGGAATCTGTTTCCTCGTATGCGCTCCGTTTCCGTACTGTCATGGCACGGTTCCAAGCTGCCGTCGAGCGTGATGGTAGTCGTACCGCTTGGAATTGCATGACAAGTTAGACCCTGGGGTTACCCACCTGCGGAGCAACACAAAAAACTGCATGCTGCGAATAGCTTTTGATTTTTTTTTTGCTTGAAGGGGGCACACAGACAGCAGTCCTACTTACTTGAGCAAAGACAAGGAACTGGCAATCAAAAATGCGCGAAGACGGTGAGGAGATGGCTCTTCTCAATCAACAATCACTTGTAATAATGCTATAGCTAGAGAAGTAGCGAAGCCGATTTCCGTTTGGTGGTTGAAAAATCCCGAAACGACGGAAATTTCGGCTGTTGACGCAGCTGGCACGAATACCGAGACGAGGGTCAAAAATCGCCTTCACTACTTCTCTAGCTCTGGTTTCTGCGCACACAGCTAAAAAAACCGATCTCCGATTGACCTAGAAGCCGAGGAGTGGCATTGATTACCAGATCACCTCCTATGGCTAAGGGCGGTGGTAAAAACAAGGGTCGCGTCAAGTCCAAAAACAAAACTTCAAAAACTTCACGACTTCTCTTCTCGAGAGAGAAGGATGCACGTTTGCGGACGCAGCGACGGCTGGGCGCGCACGCAAGGCTGCCGAGAAGGCCGACTACCCTACCCTGAAGCGTACGGCCGCTGCTACCCTCGAGAAACTCAAAAAAGCTCAGTTGGCGAAGCGTAGAGAGGCTCGAGTCCGCAAATCGGCGGAGCAGGCCGCAGAGGAGGAGCGACAACTGTTGGCGCGAGAGCGAGTCCTGCGCGCCGATCTGAAGAAGGAGCTTGGGGAGGAGCAGCGACGTAGAATCGAGGCGGAGCAACGGGAGCAAGCAGCGATCGCACACGAGCAGGCCTCGGAGCATCAGAGGCAGCAGCAGAGGGCTGCTGATGGAGAGGCGGTGGCGAACGTGCTGACCCAGCTGGGAATCTTGCGGTTGGAGAAAAAAATGCTTCAAGATCAACGCGAGATGGTTGAGATTTTTTGTCCACAAGCGGCAAGCGTGATGGCTGTGCAGCAACAGCAGCACAACGGGAACCGGCTGCTTTCCGCGAAAGACCAGCTCATCCGCACCCGGATGGAGATAGAGCAAGCGAGGAGGGAGCTGGAGGCGGCGTCGGCGTGGGGAAAGGTTGCCGAGACGAGAAATGCTAATTTGAGGAAAAAGGTGCGTGCGTGCTGTGTGTGTGCGAGTGTCTTTGCCCTCGTGTGTTTTTGGCCTTGCTGTTCCCTTCTAGTGCGACTACTTTGTATGCCTCCGAGTCCTACAGGTTGATAGAACCAACAT